TGTTTCATCTTCACATGTTGAAGAACTGAAATTAAGTAATGTCAGAAAACTTCCACCTGTATTTAACATAAACACCTAGCATGGGCTATAGATTCTTCTGTAACTACAGACCCTTCGCTAGCAGATGGCAGAAACAGGAGCACAAGAATTCATAGCTGCAGAGCAAGAAGGTGGGTATAGCTCCCCTGTTTTAAACACACAACTTCTTTCTGTGAAGCAAGACACCTTTGGAATTTCTGCAGGTGATAAATTAGAGATGACAAGAACATTTTTATATTTTTTGCTTCTTCACTGGTTTTATACACACACTTCACTGGTTTATATACACACTGGCTTTATACCTGCTCAAATTAACCCTCTGAACTTATGTCTTAGCACAGGCTGAAATCACAGAAGCGAAAAAAAGATATCAGCTTAGAAAAAAAAGTAGCTGTATTTCATTCAAACTTTCATACAATTTCATGCAATGTCGTAAGAATGTCCACTGCAAAGGAAGACAGACCAAAGACTAAACTACTCTGACGTTACCAGACTGATCTCACGTGAACTTTAGACACCCTGGGCCAAGCAACATTTAAGCAGTTGTCACTGTCACCTCCTGTGCAGCCCTACTCCTCCTTCATTCTCTCCTCAACATCCATGGATAATTCTCTGCCTCTTATTAGGACTAAGCATCACCAGTGCAGCATACTGCTCATTTCCTACATGCATTTGTGTCCACCAAAGAAACACCATCGTTCATTCACAGTATCACAGTATCACACAGTATCACAGTATGTTAGAGATTGGAAGGGACCTCGAAAGATCATCTAGTCCAATCCCCCTGCCGGAGCAGGAACACCTAGATAATGTTACACAGGAATGCGTCCAGGCGGGTTTTGAATGTCTCCAGGGAAGGAGACTCCACAACCTCCCTGGGCAGCCTGTTCCAGTGTTCCGTCACCCTCACTGAGAAGAAGTTTCTTCTCAAGTTTAAGTGGAACCTCCTGTGTTCCAGTTTGTACCCATTACCCCTTGTCCTATCATTGTTTGCCACCGAGTAGAGCCTGGCTCCGTCCTCGTGACACTCCCCCTTTATATATTTATAGACACTTATAAGGTCACCCCTCAGTCTCCTCTTCTCCAAACTATAGAGACCCAGCTCCCTCAGTCTTTCCTCATACGGGAGATGTTCCACTCCCCTAATCATCTTCGTTGCCCTGCGCTGGACTCTCTCCAGCAGCTCCCTGTCCTTCTTGAACTGAGGGGCCCAGAACTGGACACAATATTCCAGATGCGGTCTCACCAGGGCAGAGTAGAGGGGAAGGAGGACCTCTCTCGACCTACTAACCACCGCCCTTCTAATACACCCCAGGATGCCATTGGCCTTCTTAGCCACAAGGGCACAGTGTTGGCTCATGGTCATCCTGTCGTCCACTAGGACCCCCAGGTCCCTCTCCCCTACACTGCTCTCTAACAGGTCGTTCCCCAACCTATACTGGAACCTGGGGTTGTTCCTGCCCAGATGCAGGACTCTACACTTTCCCTTGTTATATTTCATCAAGTTACTCCCTGCCCAACTCTCCAGCCTGTCCAGGTCTCGCTGGATGGCAGCACAGCCTTCTGCTCATTCCACTCAAGTTGCTTCCTGGAGGGAGCACCACTTTCATGTCTGTGCAGCCACTGGCCAGGCACTATAAGCAGCCGCACCTTAGGCAGAGGTGGCCACAGCTAGCAAGGCTAACACAGACTAATACTTTCGTAGGAGAGTAACTGGCCAGCTACTGACTATTAAAAATTTATTACAAAATAGCTTGTTGACTATCAAAAACTTAAGCAGGGGAGATTTAGGTCAGATATAAGGAAGAAGTTTTTTACTGAGAGGGTGATGAGGCACTGGAGCAGGTTGCCCAAGGAAGTTGTGGATGCTCCACCCCTGGCAGTGCTCAAGGCCGCTAAGTTGGACAGAGCCTTAAGCAACCCAGTTTAGTGGAAGGCGTCCCTGTCCATCCAGGGGGGCTAGAAGTAGATGATATTTAAGGTCCCTTCCAACCTGAACCATCCTATGATTCTATGAAAAGAGTAATATATATTCCACAATATGCAACCCAAAAAGTGAGCCTAGTCATTCTAACACGTCTTATAATACTGCAGCATATTTCAAATGAATCACTAGACCAGGCATATCTTAAACCAGCATTTTTTATTTGAGTGCTGGAGTCATCCCTCTATTGCAGCCTTTTTGTTTCTCCAAGAAAGAGAATATCTGAATTCCTAACCCTCTTAGGAAATTCAACTGTAGGAGCCACTCAACAATTGCAGTTTGACCACACTTCATATGGCAATCCATCTGTACATTTTAGCTCATGCACAAAACTACAAGTCTGTATACATTCAAAGATTAAAAACAAAACAATACAATTAGGCAAAGCAAAGCTATGTTCTTCTTAATGTTGTGCACACTAACACAAAAATGCTGTTCTTCATTATGAAAGGTTGGTTTTAATAGAGTATTGAAACTCGTAACTGCTTCATACATATGCTTTCTCCAAGTAATCTTCTTCTACAGAAGGAGACAACACAGCCTAAGTTTTAAAAAAGTTTCTAACAAAGAAAACTTTCATGCAAATAAATCATAAATCTTTGATGCTGTTACAATACAATAGTTCCTAAAGAAGAATGATAGCAAAGTATTTAACTCAGGTCGTTTGAATTACATTTCCCAAAATGCTAATGAAACTGACTTTGTTCGAACATACTGAAAAAGTCACAGTCCATCATCACACTGTCACATCAGTGCATTTGACTTTTTTAAAAAATGTATGGATTATACAATTACTGCCAGGCTCCATATTTTATATATAAAAGCTACAATCTGATTATATGTCCATGCTGAAATAATTTATAAGAGTGGAATGACTGTAATGTTACTTCTGTGATGAATGTAACTTGCTGTGAACAGTCTAGGAGATTGCAAGAGAGATCAAGCTGAAGCTTGTAACTGTCTTCATCTTTCATGACGAGATGTGACCTGGGAAAAATATAGATCCCAACATCCAAAGCTCCAGATTCAAGCAAACATCTTGATTACTCATGTTCTGATATAGGAATGGAAAAGGAGAATTTATAGTCTCCACAGGCCACACCTTTAGATTATTCAGGTAAGAATCACATCAAATTACATCCAATGATTAAATTATATGTTATTCTATTATTGTTTTGCATCATCAGCAAATCACTCCTGCCACTGTAACCCTTGCACTTTTGGATTCATCTTATTTACTACTCCCTAGGTGTTGCCATCATGCTTAGTATGATATAGATGAATGTGAATACATGGCAAACCCAAGGTCTTGTGAGACTGCATCAGGACTACATAAAGCAGAAAAGAGGGTACAGGAAAACAAAAATTAAAACTATACCTATGTGAATTTTGAGACTGCCAATAGCTACAGCATACAGATCACAAACTAAATATTTTTCCCTTTTCTTTCTCCTTAACCAACACAACATTTAAGAACAACATTGTGGTTCATGCGTCACCCAAATTACTTGAAGGAGTAATGGGAAACCTGTCGTAACAAAGTCAAATTAAACAAGATGATAACCTATCCCTCAAAAGTGCTACAAACTCTTTCCATTCAGGATGCACACCTCTTTAGAAACTGCTATGCTAGTTATGGGAGTTCATTTTCCTGACCGCAATCTCAAGCTGCCCAGAGGGGTAGTGAAGTCTCCCCCTCTGGAGACATTCCAAACCCACCTGTGCATGCTCCTATGTAACCTGCTCTAGGTGGCCCTGCCTTCGTGGGGGAAGGTTTGACTAGATGGTATCCAGAGGTCCCTTCCAAACCAAATGATTCTGTGAATCTGAGGTCTCCTGAAAGCCCACCGACGCCCTAAAGCCAACAAAAACCTGGCTCAAAAACCTAAGACCGTGGAAGTGCAGAAAGTGATTGTGACTCAGAGACTACTGCTTGATGATTAGAACAGTAAAGGGAAAGCAGTTACAACTGTTTCTTCACCTCTTCCAAAAAACTGCTTGCAAAGCTCTTGCAGTCACACACCGCACAACTCGAGCCCTCCCGCTCTCACGGTACAGCGACCTTCGTCAAAGCAGGAGCAACTAAATAAACGTGGGTCGTGAGCAGCAAAACCACTCAACGTAGAGCAGGACCATGCCGGAAGTCATCTCTTCCGGGCTGCGCAGGGCCGGACCAAGCCCCAGCACCGCCGAGCTACGGCCCAGCAAACCAGCCGTACCGTACACCTCAGCCCGGCCCACACCCCGCTGCTCCTGCGCAGACGCCCAACCGTCGCCACACAGCGATGAAGCGGCGCTGCGCCGTGGAGCTCCAGATAGCACAGCCACAGCGGCCCCGCCGCTGCCCTCCTATTCCCCCCTCTCCCAGTGAGGGAGATGACGGCAGCGGCCGCCGCAGTCCCGCCGCAGCCCCGCCGCAGCCCCGCCGCAGCCAGCCCCGCCCGGCCCGGTCTCACGGCCCGCGCATGCGTGGCAGCCCCTTTACTGGCGGCCAGCCTAAGTGGCGCCGCAGCCGGCGCCTGCGCCCCCGCCAGCCCCCTACAACGAAGGTCGCTCGCAAGGACCGGCTTCCCCACTCCCACTCCCACTGCCTGCCCCGCCGCTCCCACCCTCCTCCCTGCCAGCCGCCGGCGGCACAGCGCAACAGAAGAGCCTTGGCCCGGGCTGGCTGAAGCAGCCAATGGGCGCGCCGGGCGCTGTTCCCGCCCTTGGCACCTCGTCCAATCATCGTGCAGCGGGGGAGGAACGAGGGCCGGGATTGGCTCGGCGGAGCGCCGCTGGCCTCCCTCCCACCACCGCCAAAAAACGACGGTAGCAGAGAGGCCCAAAAAGCCGTAGGGGAGACGCCGGCTCTGCCGGCGGTCAGCTGCGGCCCCGCGGCACCCAAAGCCCGCCCTGCAGGGGTCCGGATCAGCAGCCGGCCCTGCCCCGCGGAGCGGGCGGGCGAGAAGCCCGCGTCCCGTCCGGCAACGCTTACCGCGCGGGGGGAGCCGTCCGCCTCCGCTTGTGATGAGCTTGGTCACAAGTGGCGCGCCGTAGATTCGCCGGTTTGCGTCACGCCCGGGGCGAGGCGCGCGGCGCGGGGCGGGAGTCGTAACGTGACGTGACGTGACGTAACGTAACGTAACGCGGCGCGGCGGCGGGGCGGGAGCCAGTGAGGCGCTGATCGAACGGTCTAGTTCGCGTGCCGCCGCGGGCGCGAGGGACTGCGCACAACGGCCGCTGCGCGGGGTGGGCGGGGGCGCGCGAGCGGCCGCCATCTTCCCCTACCCGGGCAGGAAGGAGGGAGCTCCGGGAGTGTTGCTCGGGGTTGGCGCTGATCCTCGTGGCTGAGGGTGGGCGTAGCGGTGGAGCCATGGCTGCGGGTCCCATGCGGATGAAGGCTGGCTCCAGGTGCCCAAAACTGCACCTACGTTTGCGGTTGGCAAAGCCGTGTGTGCGTCCGGTCTCTGCCACGGCAGGTCCTGCTGCTGCTCTGCGCAGTCATAAACTTGTGTCGTGCAGGGGCGTCCGTGAAATAAACTTGTGTTTTACAGTCTCACGCCACGTGGGCAGCGCAGTGAGAATTGGTTCTAAACCATGGGATGAGGGCTTTGAAGAAGGTGAAAAAATAGAGTAGATGAGAGGGTGCACAGGAATCATTCATTGAGATAGATACAATCTCTCCAAGCTTTGCTTGGTATTTTTAGCAGGATGAAGCTCTAAAGAAAAACAGTCGAATAAAGTGGGGGGAGGTGATTTGTTAACTATGTTGTGTTTTATAAGCTCATGAAACTAATGAAACACTTCATGATCTTTCTCCCTTTCTCAAGCTGAGTCACATGATGAGTATTGAAGTGCGGTCTAAAGAGTCTTTTGACATCTATGGTGGGATGCAGTTGGTTTTTCACAGTTTCTTACGATTTTTCAAATGCATGTCTACTATTTATCATGGTTTTGCCCCAACTGGCAACTAAATACCACACAGCAACTTGCTCACTTCCACCCCAGGGTGTGGTAGGGAGGAGAACCGGTGAAAAAATTAAAACCCATGGGTTGAAATATGAACAGCTTAATAATTAAAGTACAATATAATAATGAAAAGACTTAACAATGAGAGAGATATAAAACTAAAAGAGGAAAGGGCGAAAAACAGTAAACACAAGTGATGCACAATACAGTTGTTCACCACTTGCTGAACAGTCCCCAGCACGACCCAAGCTGCAGTCTGGGCCTTCCCTAGGACTCCCCCCAGTTTATACACTGGGCATGACGTGCTGTGGTATGTAATACCCCTTTGGCTAATTCGGGTCAGTTATCCTGTCTCTGCTTTGTCCCAGCTTCTTGTGCCCCTCCTCACTGGCAGAGCATGGGACCGAAAAGTCCTTGATCAGGGTAAACATTACTTAGCGACAACTAAAAACATTGGTGTGTTATCAAGCATTGTTCTGAGACTAAATCCACTGTCATACAGTGTATGCAGCACAGCACCAGGCTTACTAATTGGGCCTAACAACTTCCAGTTTTATGTAGCCAGGTAGTCATTGGCTACTGTTAGCCTTATGACACAGCACTGCCAATCCTGGAGCAGGTTGTCAAGGCTGTGGGTGTGGTTTGAGGACGAAGCAGTCGCTGCAGCCTGAGCTGTTCATCGAATGAAAATGGAGAACCCAAATGAACAGCCAGAGTCTGGTAAAGATTGAAATAAATAAAGTTTAAAACACATGAGTATCAGTACATAAAGTATCACACAGAACACAGGTTAATAACTCTTTGTCTCTCCAGTCTCTAAGGCTTATTTTACATATTTTAATTGTCCTCTCTGTAATAACAATTGTACAGGGAGGAAGTCTCCTTAATTTGTAGGATACCTTTAGTTATATATATGTTTATAAGGACATTTAAGAACTTTAGTAGCTTATCAAGAGACTTACGGAAAACAATGGCAGTTTTAAGAATGACTGGTTAAGAATAATCTAATTGTTCTTCATATTTTTAAGCATGGGAAAATTGGTAAAACAACTTTTTAATGTCCCTCAGGCTCGGTTACTCTGTGGTTTACAAACTACTTTCAGATGCCTAAGAATTTTTGTAGGTCTGGACCTTGGGTAACACCACCTGTATTTAAATATTTGTAGTATCCAGGTCAGCACGCCTGGTCCATCAGTTATTTCATCATCTGCTTACTGAGAGGAGGCATACTGAGGGAGAAGGTGTGATCACAGATCCAAATTTCTTTAAATGTTCTTTTGGAATGTTTTTAACAGAAAATGAAGAGAGGCAACCTTTTTTAGGAATAGCCTGAAGAGGGAGCCATTGTTATAGTAGAAGAAACAAGGAAGACTCGCTATTAATAAAAGAAAAATTAAATCTAAAATATTTTTATTTTTAATCATTATATAATGTTCACAGATTTACCTATATTTAATGTTCCGGTTTCTGTATGTACATAATTTTAAAGTCATGATAAAAATATAAATGCTTGGCGTTTGTTCTGAAATATTTATACTGATTAAAATATATTAAAATGCAAACTGAATAAGTCAATTATTAGTAAAGCATTAATTAGTTAATGAAGTAGTTTATAAATTGATTGTAAACATAGAATGTATTTATTTTCTAACAGAATGACATTAGGGATGATTCTGCAGGTGCTGTGTTTCTTCCACACTAAAATACTGATTTCATTAGAAATGTTTCTCACTTAAAGAACAGTACCAGCTGTTTGCTTGGCTGTGTAACTTAAAGCTCTGTCTGCTTGATATCACAGTAGTCAGTGTCACTAGAATAACTAGTAACTAATGGTCATATAAAGCAGTTGTATTTTTTTTTTTTTCTCTTCAAAAGACTGATGAGGTGCTGCTCAACATTAAAAAAGGAAAAGACAGGGTGACTGGTGGATGCCCTGTCTTGATCTAAAAGGGAAAGAGTAACTCTCAATACCCCTGTGGGTAGGAGTGGATTCCCCAGTGCTGCCTTTCATGGCCGGGAGAACCTGAAATTGAAGTCTTCTCTTTCTCTCTTCTGGGATTGAAGGAGGCATGAAGATGGTCTGCATAATTCACTGGTCCTGCTCCTTCACACATATGGTTTTAACTTGATAGCAAGAGGCTGTTTCAGAGCAGACCCTCATTTCAGGGCACTGCCCTGATAGTACCCGTGCCTATAAAATTATGCTGTCTTATTGGCTGTATTTTACTTGGCATTCCCCAAAGCAACAGAAAAAACTACATATAGCATAAGACCACCTTCAGTTGCACTTCTTAGTGCATAGAAAGCATGGATTATAGTGACTTCCAGAGCAGTTTTATTGCTAGAAACACAGCCTCCATGCCTTTCAGGAGGAAATACACCATCTGAGAAGTGCTGAACCTCCACTACCTCACTGAGCTTTCTAGTCCTCTCTTTGGCCAAAAGTGTCATGAGTAGCTGTTTCTTGGTGGTTGAAGTCACTTTGTAAAGCCACAGTGGAACAGGAGACTGCAATGAAGTTTTATGTCAATTGCATGTCTTCGAATACTTTAGCAAAATTCAGTCATTTACCTTTATAGAGCAGTAGCTTCTAAGCATGGGCTGATCTTTCCTGAGTCATGTGCAGGTGCTGGAGTGCTCGCCCCTGCAGCATTCCTTACCACACAGGTTCCTATATGGTTTCGATGGGTGAAGGCAGCTGAGAGACTGCAGAGGACTTGTTCTGCAGGTTGATGATGTGCAAAACAGTGTCTTCTGATCTTGGAGGCTTGGTCCTTGTCTTGAACTGCTCCTTCTTGACACAGGCACCAAAAGTTGCACTGCAGTTATGGAGTCTACAGAGCCAACACAGGTAAGAGAGACTGAGCTGAGTCTTCATTTTTCCTGTGAATACCATCAGCAGCTAGGAGCCTTACTCAGCTCTTACAGTTGTAATATGAGCCCCACGGCCTCGGGTAAGTCTGAGAATGGGTATTGAAAACCTGTTTTGAAAACTAAGTATCCCAGAGTATTGCTGTTCCCAGATCTCTTAAGAGGCTAGCTACTTTTATGTTGCAGCTCCTGGGAACTTCGGGGCAACTACTAAAAGTCAGAAACTTGCATATTACAGGTTGGTCTTTCTTAAAGAGCTGTTCATACAGATGATCTGTGATACAATATTTCTGTCTGTAGACTCAACATCCACATCTTATGCCTTTAATCGTCTTTGCTCGTTCAGGTTTTAGCAGGGAGGTAGCAGGAGAGAAAGGAAATATGACAACTACTTTCTGCAATTTCATTAATGTAATTTGTCTTACAAGTAAGGATAAAACTCATAAGTTTTTGTTTAAATGTGGTTCAGTTGGTTTTGTTGTGTATGAACTAACTAGATGTTAGAGTAAAAATCGTATTTTGAAATTAAAAAATATACAGATTTTAGTTACTTGTGCTACATGTTTTGCCTGAACAGCAAACCAAGCTCACAACTATCGTTTTAATTTCAAAATATCTCATTTGCCTTTGATTTAATTATCTGATAAGATGATGATTTAAAAGTAATTCACAATAATTAGTTACTAATTGAGTAGAAAAATGTCCTTCTGATGAAAGATTGACCAGAAGAGATATTTACAAATTTTTTTTTTCTATTGTACAAAAGGTCACATAAAAGAAACATGCAGTGATTCTTAAAAGTGTACTCACAGCACAGTTACAGGAGTTCTGCATTAAATTGGGGGAAAGGCAGAATCCAGACCTATAAAGATTTACTATTGCAGTTCTATTGACCTCAGTGATTATTCCATAGATGTTCATAGATAAGTCTTTACATCAAATTCAACAAGCTAATTGTATTGCATTTCCTATTTACAGCATCCTGTGAAGGACAGGGAAGAGATTAACTTGATAATGGATCTTTCTTCAAACAATTACATAATGAAATTTTGTTTATGCTAGGAGGAAATGACAGTGCTGTTTATTGCTCAGATCCAGAAGATGGAATACGTGTGAGGCAGCATGAGCATGGTGATACTACAAAACAGAAATAAAGCAATTTTAATAAAATACATGTAAAAAAAAATTCATTTTGCCCAGAATTTTAAAACTAAAGCATAACATATTCCACTCGGCAAGAATAAATTATCTATAACCCTATTTTATAGCATTAGGGATAAGATAAATGAATACTATTTATTAGTATGCCAAGTAATAACATGACAATTATTTTTTCCACCAATTCTGACCCACTAAATATGCAATTTTTATGTTTTTCCAGATCAGGAAGTTAGAAAGCTTAAGAATAATAAAATGCTTTGCTGATTTTCTTGTGATCTTTTCTTTCTATCAGTTGTTAGTCTCTGTATTGGAATTTTCATGTAAGTGCCGATGGAGCTTTGATATCTCCAGGAAAAAGGCTGCAAACATTTTGGCTCCTTCAATGTAGTTGTATCTGTGAAGGAAAGAAAAACAATGAAGACCTGTCAAGCTGTTCTGCTCTTGAAATTAGTATAGTTTTCAGAGTCTTCAGAAGAATTTGCAAGATTGGTCACCCAAAAAAAGGACCCAGTGCACAGAAATTCTGGACATCCTTCAACTAGCATTGAAGGAGAATTGAAAGGGTTTACTAAGAAAACTTTCCCCAGTGTTGCATCCCCTAATTACTATTGTCTGTGGCCAAAAGGGTTGAGGGTATAGTAAGGGGAAACAAAAAAACACTTTGAGAATTATTGTAGAATTCTCCAGTTTCTCAAGCTCAACATGATATGACTCAGAAGCTACAGCAATGTTCAGACAACACGCTGAGCAGTGTCTTACCATAATGCCTGAAAGAATGAACGCAAGTGGCAAGTTTAAGTTAATTTTGGTATAATTACATCAGTTTTTGTCTCTGTAATATAAATGCAACTTTATTTATACTGAAAGCCATAAAAATCTTCACTTAACCATTAGCCTGCATACATCCAACTGGCATACTTCAGAATGGATGCTGTGACAGAAGAGTGCCCGTATACATCATAATTTTTCAGACCAGAGGCAAATTCCATTGGCAATTTTAATTTCACTGCCAATGTATTTAGACTGGGTAGACACTCGTGTGAAAAAATGTATATCTGTACACAATACATTGGGAATTTGTGTTTGGCACAGCAACAAGTTTGCTGGAGACAGTAGTTTGGGACTGTCCAGTGCATGGCAAAGCTTTCCATCTGTCTTTTAGGCATGGGTATACCAGGCGACTTCAGTTCTCCCCCCTTCTCTTACAGAGCAAATCAGCAAATAAAAGAAACCTGCTTATTTTCTCATTCTGGGAGTGCTCCCCATCACTGGCTGCACCGATTGGAAGCATTATCACACTTTTCTGCATTATAGTCTGAAACATTCTGGCAACAGGAACTGTTGAACCATCCCGGATAAAATCTGGGTCTTCTCCGAAAACTGAAACACATGGGAAGAATTAATTCATTATTAAGTGAAATAAGGTGCTTGCCTTTGCTACCATATATTTGAGGACACAGCTGATATTCAGAGCATCTGAGTAGAAACTGGTTTGATCCTGTAGCAAATTGATTTCATGAATCAGCTGCACTCTACAAACCTCTGGGTTTGTATCGGTACACAAAGAAACTAAATAAGGTCTTTTGGCTAACTCCTATTAAAGATGCCTCAATTCAGCAAGATGAGCGCAATTCCCCTGCACACTTGCAGACACATTAAGAATGAGAAAAAAAAAAGAAGGAAAATACCTATTTTTATTGCCTTTCTTGCTGCTTTATATAGTGGATCATTAACATCAGCGAGCCAGGGTTTTGCACCTAAAGGCATAGACACTTTCAGTTTGTTTGGACTATTTCTCTTGAAAAAGACACTCTCCAAGTGCTCCACCACCTGCAGCAAAAACACATTGCAGTTAGAAGCAACTCAAGCTTACACCCACATACTTTCTTCTGCTCTCAGAAACAAATAAATGCTAGAAACACTCAGTTTGCTATTTTGGGTACAAACTCATGAGGTGCTGAGAAGTACTTAGTTTACACAGCAGAGGCCAAAAAAGAAGGTTTGTCTCTTACCTGTTGTTTCACAACTGAAAGGTCCATGTGGGGGACCTGACGGATTGAGAATTTACCAATTACTTTTGCTGGAATGACTGTTTTAATTCCTGGTTCATTAAAAGCTCCTTCAATCCCATGAATAGAGAGAGAAGGGTAATGCCACAGGTGCAGAAGTATTTCTTCCTTCAAAAAAAGGTGACATTGAAAATGTAAGGGATGACACTGGAGCCATTCACGATTTATATGAGTTGATTTGAAGAAACAAACTTTCTGTCCTCAAATTTGTATGTGGAGATCTCTGTATTTTAAATATGTTTGTAATTTAAACTCATGCACACACCTTTTCATTGAAAAAAAAAATTACTTCTTTCAGTCAACATTCGTTTACCTTTTTAAATATTTGGATGAGAATAGCTTTCCATGCACAAGAAAAACAGAGCATTGTTTTAAAATATCATAGAAGTAAATTTCTCTAACACAATGTAAAATCAGAACAACTTCTGATCTGACCATCTGTTGATCTTGGAGCTTCTCGCAGGAGAAACCTGTTACCAGTTTAACCAGATGATACCAGGAAATAAGTTCTACTAATGAGCATTAAATAATACAATAGGTAAGATGATGTTCAGTAACAAAGTTGATCTCTTTTTCTGGAGAAGGTAAGAAAGGTTAAAAAAAAAAAAATAAATAAAAGACAATGGTTATTCTAAGGATGAAAGGAGAAATATATAAAATATAAATTAGGCTTCATGCAGAACCCAAGAGCACTGCTCCTTTCCTTCTTCTCCAGTTTTATGAGACTGGGGCTTTATGTACACATAAAATTTGCACCACTTCATCCTCATATCTGTAAAGCATCAAAACTTATATAGTGTAGTTACATTATACTTCTGTATTACTGATTATTACAGTCTAGCTTAAGCTAATTTGGAAGCTTTTTCATGGAAATAAAAGCATCCATGTTAGAACTTATACCAGTATAATTATGTTAGTGATAAAAAAACGAATCACTCCTTTCTCCCAGCTGCTACTCTTGTGCAGAAAGATCCTTCTGAGCCAGCCCTTACCTGCTGCTTTTTATTTAGGATATAATTTTTAAGTGCTGGCAAAGAGAGGCTTATAGCTTTGGGTGCTTTTTTGGCATGCTCAGCAGACATTAAAATCTGAATTAAACAAATAAAAACCACCCAAAACACATCTGCCTAAAGCTGCCTCCCATTTTTCAGAGACGAATACAATTTCTTTTCTACTATGCAACCCATGTGCAGGGGTTTTAATGCTTATTTTATTTGGCTAGTTAGGCATGGGGGTAGTTGCAAGGCAGGGGGAGCAATACTGTTAGTTTTGCATCATTCCTTTTCATTGATTATTCATCTTTTGAATCACATTCCCCAGATGCGGTAGCTTATGTTTTCAGCAGATTAATTTTATTTACCTTTTAATGCTTTGTGCCCTTTATTATAAGTTTGTTGTTGATCTTTCAGTTTGGCTCTGTATATAAATGCTGTGAATGAGTGATTTAAATTCTTTCTGCTGACCATTTATACAGGTTTTGTGTTACCTTGGTGCCATAGAGGAATTTTTTCACGCCACTATTGTTTTTATGCTCCTCCAGATCAAATTCAATAGATTCATATAATTGCCTCTCTTCCTCTGTCAGGGAAGCAACACTGTCATAGATTCCAGGGATCTGAATATGACCTGTATGATCCACAAGGCTGTCTACAAAATAAGACAGAGATATCAGTGCAAGTAGGATTTATTTCTTCCACTTGGCAATCACAGCACCTTTTCTTTTCTACCAAACTCTTTACTGACTGAGTAAGCCTACCAACTAACTACTAACAACTGCTTGCATCCATCAAGTTGTGGCACCTAACTTGATGTATTTTCGTATTTATAAAGAAAACTATTGAGCTGCTGTTTATAGTGTGTGGTGTGTCAGCCTAACTGCTGACATGAAAACATCATCCTACTGAGATACAAATCAGCATTAAAACATCAAGCGTCTCTACCCGTGTATGTATTCAAGTTGTCAGCAATCCTTAAATGTTCTTCATTGACATGTGACTAGCGTCAGCTTAATAGGCACATGTCTGAGGTCCTGGCCTTACTGGGGACATTCCTTCCTCAGCTGCTGCCACAATAGCTATGCTGAGATTTGGAAACCTGGGCATTTTTCTTCAATTAGACTTGCCTTACTTGTGTCAAATAAACGTGGCACTAATCGTCCTTAAGCTGATTGCTAGCTGTTGTTCCCCGGTTACTCCTGAGCAATGATGCATGTTATTACCCAGCAGAGCTATGAGGTCCATCAGTGGCTCATGAATGATGCCTCCAAAAGTTCCAGAGTGAAGGTCCTTGCTGCCACATTCAACCTGTACCAAAACCACTGGTTATATAAAACACTCCCTACCTTATTCTTCTGTGAGTGGTTGCTTTCTATCACAACCGGTGGCTTCATGTTTTTAAACAAGGTCACAAAAGTATAGAAAATGATTATGTGTTTCTATTTATAAAATGGAAACATCATCTTTGGTGAAGAGAAGGTAGGGCTCTGTTGTTAACTACTAGAAAGAGAAACTCATCTGTCTGTAGCACTTAACAGGCATTTGAGAGCAAGGGTCTCTCTCCATTCCCACTTTTGCTTCAGTAAAATTAAATACTTCCTAAGTGAAACACTTGCATCTTACTGTTTCTAACATTGCAGAATAAATTCAAGTTTTCTATCCCTTCTATTTAATGCAAAATCTTCATAATAAAGGCAAGAAAAAACCTTACTTGATTTGCATTAAGAAAATATATGTCCAACCTTCATTTCAGATAGCAGCAAATAAGAATTTAGAAGTCTCTTGACTCATACAGCTTTAGAATAGAAAGAGGCATTTGGTTTATTAAATGCGTGCTTTTTCCAGACACGTTTTCATATTCAGGTTTATCATAAACTATTTTCCTGCAACAAACTTCTTTATTTTTCTCAAAACCTCATTACAGCCAACTGTCTGGTAGCAGGCAGACATCATTTTTGATGTTTTAATAGCATCATTTTTCTTAACCAACACTTAAAAGAATTGAATCAAGGCTGCCGAGGCCCTTTTGGTTAAAAACAAATTTCATTCTTTTTCAGACATAAAGGTTAATGCAGATTTTTCTTTAGTTACAGAGGGCTTTAATCTTCTCTCTGACTTCCTTTTATGCTTCATCAGGAAGTTTCCAGATGAGAAACTTCTGCTCTTCATTTCACAGTAGCTTATGTTAGCTGCTAAATATACTACAGTCCACTGTTACTTGCTTCTGGAAATGGTTACAAAAATTTTTTGTGGCTTTTAAACCCAGGGATCCAACTAAAATGAGTCCCTTTAGGCAAACACATTGCACTAAGCAGCGTCTTCTGCAAAAGGGCAGAGCAGCAGAAGAAATGGTTTTGGAGCAAGAGAGTCAGGGGAGGTATAGGGGCGAAGCTGAAAGAGAACAGAGTTGATGTACAGAGGGAGTGACGAGAAAAGCCTGGGAGTGTGGCAGGAGAGTAATGGTATAGGAAAGGGACTGAGGAGAAGGAGGCAGTTGGAGAAATTATGATTAAAGTGAAATTAATGAAAGGCTAGTTGAACTGAAATGAGGAGGGAAATCTGCACAAGCCAAAAACAGTATAGAAGAAAGCTCTGTATTTTTAAATATTAAGCTCACACTCAGTCGTTCACTGCATGCAGATGCAGCTGTGATTGCAGGTACATCCCTGCTTTCTGCTCAGGGGCACAGTTCAAATGAACCTGTGTCCTTTACCTCAACAAAGAAGCAGGCATTTCCCCGACTCCCACATGTAAGGGCAGGCTTCCTGTTGCTGAGCCAAAGGCTGTCCGAAATCACAACATAATCAACATCAGAGAAAAAGTACTGTTTCTCCTCTTGAAGTAACTTTTCTAGCCCCAAGGACCCTGCTTCTTCCATGCCTTCAATTACGAACTTGAAGTTCACTGGCATAGCCTAAATGAACATTAGAGAAATCTAGATAAGGAACAAGCACTTTCAAAAATAAATAAATAAACTTTTAAATCAGAAGCAGACTGGCTTGTAGTACGTGCTGTGTTAGGAAAAGAAGGATGTAGGATATACAGTTTGCTTCAGTAGAAAGGGCAGTAATAGACAGATACATAGTTTCCCAGAAAAAAATTGGTTGTCTTCATGTTTTTATCTGCTTTTCATTTTTGAAGGAGAATAGGCAATATTTTTTTTTCCTTCTTTGTGTTTTCAGGAGACTTGCTGGACTGTCTCATTAAATTGGCTTTCTCTCAGTGCTATTAAACATTCTAATTGCTTTGGAAATTCTAACTGTGTAATAGCAGTTGCATTGTCACAGAAAAATTCTTGCCTCTTTATTTCCAGTGTTAGTGCCTACGCGGGAAGCACTGGCGGAGGGGCACTGCTGTGGTTACCCCAACATGTTATCTACGGCCCGAGTTACTCACATGGTGGAAAAAAAGGCTGCTGGTGATTCTACTGTAATTGTCTTTTTAGCACTCATTAATTCATTTGCCTACTAGTTCATAAGGCTGCATTTCCAAGGGTAATTAGAGAACTTCTATTATTGAATAGATCAAGTTAGAAATGCTGACACTTCCCATAGGAGATGATACAAATTTGAATGTAGTTTCCTGTTCCAATTCATTTTCTTCTTACAGGCTTTAAGATGTTTTCTGTTTTGATTCAATACTCAGCTTAAATGCAGGAACAAATGTGTAGAATTAAATGAACTTGTGTTATGGATGGGTGCACCAATGGTTCATCAAACGACCACAAATGATTTGGAAACAAAATGTTCATGAATATTGTTTGATGGGCTGTGCTGTTTTCTAGGGAAAGACTTTATACGGCAAAGATTTCTTTTATTTGCTTGCTGGTTAAAATGCCAAAATAGCTGTTAGCGATTTGAAAAACTAGAAAGATTCAGACAGCCCCATAACCATATCCACTTCCAACAGCTCATCTGTGGACAAATAACATGGGTTTGCTAGCACTTGAGAGGCACCGAGTTCAATTCAGTACTGTCGATGCAAGAAAAACATTAGTTTTCCAGAAGGCTGCAAAAGGACTTTAGAAGTCAAGACTTAATGCTCAGTTTGTGCCGTAACATCAGAAAAGAGGCATAAAACTGTTTCTCAGCAATCTAACAAAACGCATTGTGCAAATTCACCTTAAAGATGCTTGCTAACCATGTTGAAAGTTTCAGCTGTGTGTTGGTTTAGCTTTGCACTGGAGATACAACTAGCCCAAAAGTATTAAATATGCAGACTGATTTAAAGATAACTATGTTGGTCATTGTAGTAATTCAGGCAAAATTTTAGCTCATAAAGATATGTCAGTCTCTAAGTGAGTGTATTTGTACTTTGTTAATGCACTCATTCAAAGCATTTGCTTTGATAAATCGAACACATTGAGAGAACAGCCTATTATGTACGAACAGGTTTAGATACTTACTCTCTTCATACATACGTATAAATTGAAGGTATAAATTGAAGGTAACTTGTAGGTAGACAAAACCAAAGATCAGCAGACTGTAGCAGCAGAGATGAGTCTTCATGAGCTATCTGCACTGCATGTTATTTTACCATTTTAAAAGCTCTCAAGAGAACAGGGTATCAAAGCTGTTTAATGTATGTAATACATATTGAATGCTTCCCTCAGTGTGTTTTCCTCTACAATTCAATGACAGCAATTCCATATTTACATTGCATACAGACTGTTCAAAAGAGAAATGCTCACAAGCAGACTCTTGCTGGAGTGGGATCAGTGCCCTGGATATAGCATTAGAAATAAGCTAATATTTCCAAAATATATGTAGTCTGTTGAGGCGGAGATGTATCATCTAACTCACAAGAATGTAAAGGTATCCCTCCAGAGATGTTATAAGAATAGTAATAATAATAATAGTAATAATAATAATTCTCTTGATACCTACTGATTTCAAGGCTTTAAATGTTTCCACTGCATTTATCCAAGCTAGGACAGGTCCTTTATTATCTATTGCTCCACGCCCATAGAGATTTCCTTAAAAAGAAGAGAAAAGTTTTTAAACAATCTTTGAAACTTCTCTTGTCACTTCAATGGAATCAGCAAATTCCTGTTGCCATAGCAGCTGTAGTGGTATGTCAAGTAAAGTGTCAGAAGAGTCAGGATTTCATCAACTTGTTTTTAATAACGTGATGGGCGTTCCCTAATGGACTGGTACACTTCTGTTTTTTCCTTTCTTTCCTTTTATATTGGTGTGGTTTAAACCACTGCAGTGTTATCAGCATTGTTCTCAGACTGAAGCCAAAACACAGCACTGCAGCAGCTACTAGGAAGTAAACCACAAAAATCTGTTACAGCTGAAACCAGGACATATGTACACCATGTTTCAGCTACATGCCAGTTTCTGAGCTTCACTTTTGTTCTTAAGAGCTCTTTATTAACACCAGACATAGTGTGAACACACCCCTGAAGTGTTTTTACAGTATGCAGCTTCCATACACATCAGCCAGCCCACATAACAAGCAGCAAAAGCCCCACAGATAAATCTCACAGTAATAGCTTGAAGCTACAAGTCTAGGTATGTAACTTTATGTGTTTGACTGTACAGTCAGGGACAGATTTTCGTTTCAGGTAAATTTCTGTGGCAGTCTCCACTGAAGGTATAGGAGCTACCCCACTAAGGCTGTTTGAAACCAGTTCCAGCCAATAGGAAAGGGCAGTTTAATGCGTGTAGCACAGCCTTGGGAATCAGGATTTCAGGGTTCTTTGGGTCTTACTCATCTGCTGACCGTCTACCCATTATTTTTGTTCCTTCAGTGAATGGAGCTTTTCATGCTCAGCTAGCTGAAGTGGAAGGATGATTACATTAAGAGGGGTTCACATTCTTCCACCATAAATGCTCCTTAACACCAGGGTGGCAAGTGAAGATACTAAAGGATCATGAAGCAAGAACAGGAAGTGCAAGAGAGGATAATGGTTGATACAACTTAATAATTTGAAGCAGAAATGAATTGTCCGTTAAATACTTTTAAAGCAGCATTGACAGCTCATGTGGCTCTTCCACATCAAGCAGGTAATCACTGATGAGTCTCAGTAGTCACATCATCAAGAGTCAAGGCTGCTGGATTTGTCCCAGAGATTTCCATGGGGGAAGTCCTCATGCTTTGGTTAAATATATAGGGAGCCTCCTTGCACTCAATCTCAGTTGTGTATTCAAACAATGATACAAAAGTGATGACACACCATCGATTTCAGTCAGTGTGTAAGGGTCAGTTTTCCAGCCATCTTCCTTCTTGGCAGGCTGCACATCCACATGACCATAGAAACATACAGTGGGGCTTTGTGGATCCTCTGCCAGTTCCCCAAGAATCACAGGAGGCAGTGGGAGGTCCTGGCCATCAGGCAGCTGCAAAGAAACATTAAAAAAAGAAACTAAGGAAAAACAAACCTTTGAAAACTTTCAAACATCATTAAAAACACTCCGTAATTCTCAGAAGTGAAAATATTTCAACATACTCAATTGGCTGTCATTTGTTCAGGTGCACAAATCAGACTGTGAAACCAACCCTAACCTACCAAGAGGAATTAACTTTTTTCTCCACCTGTTTAGATTCTGCAGGGACTTTATGAAGCTCTTCTAATATTTTAGTGTCATAAATGGCCTTGTTCCTAAACTCTTACTTTGTAGCACTGAGGAAGACAAAAATGGCTGTTTGCTGTAGTGAAAAAGCAGATATTGTGACACTGAAGTAGTGAAAAGCCACACAAATTAATTTGGGGTTTGATTTCACCACAGACAGAGGGTAGGAGGCCTGTAACCTCAAATACAAAAACAAAATCCGATTTTGCTGGCAGGAGGCAGCTATTTCAGGCTGGTTTGAAGCAAGTTAAGACTCTAAATCCTGTGACATACTGTGCAGAAGAGGTTGGCCAAGAGATGCTGGATGTCTCACAAAAGAAATAAGAGAAGGAATGCGTGCTTCCTTGTATTCACCAGTAATATCAGTCTGCATTGGCCTGCTGCAACCAAAAAAATCTAGCTGCTTCTTGCTAAGCAATCAAAGGAAAAACCCATTTTGTGAAACATTATTTTTGCCCTGGGCAGAGAAAAGTATCTCTGGTCTCTGCTCCAGCAACAGGTAATCCATTCCCCCGCTGCCAACACAGACTTTGCTATATATTTTGGCAATCATAACTGCATGCCAAGTGCATGCAGTTTTCAAGTGCAATGCATTATTACAACTTTTCATTACAACATTTCATTAAACTGAAATGCATTCATTACGACTATTAAATGACATAACCTGAAATATTAAAGCAGTGCTGTGATGCAAGGTCCTTCTGCTAAGACTCAACAATCTTTCCCATAACCCTCAGAGGATGGAAAAGGGAATCACTATTAGCGAAGTTCTGAATTCCTGTTAGAATAGGAATCTGACAGCCTCCAGCTACAGTAAGGTAAGTCAATTAAAGGCAAAGATTTCTCAGAGATTAACTCGTGTGCTGCTTTCCAACAATCCTTAAGAAAATGGGTTGAAGCATTTGTTAGAAGCTCCCAAACCCAAAGGTGATGCTCAAGATAGCTAGCACCTTCTGTTGGGCAACATTTTCCTTGTAAAAGCTACCTCCCTCATATAGGCACCTTGGTGAAGAACGATGCATTAACTATAATGCTTCATTACTCAGAAGAATGTAAAAATGAGCCCTGGTGAAAAACTCAGGCCTTTTACTTTTGCAGACTGCTTCCCACCAGTTAAAATCATCAAACTGTCCATGATATGCAGAAAACATCTATTTCCATTTGGATTGCCTGTGTAGTCTCCCAAGTCTGTTTGCAGACAGTCTGAGGAGGGACTGATTTCAGTAGGTATCATGTAGTTATGGAACTACTGATAAATTGTTATTTAGCTATCAAAAATATCAGTATGTCATAACATGCCTATGCATATACATAGCACTGAATGCAATAGGCAGACCACATGTGCAAATATGATATTTTAAATACAAGAATCAGACAAGCACCTGATGTGACCCCAAGTTTACTAAATTAACAGTCGCTCCAAGTGCCACAAGTCTGTCAGCTGCCAGCGCCATCATTCGTATTACTTCTTTCCTCAGATCTGGTTGAATAGAATCGCTTTCCACAGCCACCCATTCCTTAAGATCCTGCACAAGGAGGAAAGAAGTGGAGTTAAATCACCCAGGATGCTGCAGTGTTTGGCCCTTTAACATGAGAAGTGTCACTTTGGAAGACGGTTTAATTTCTATCCCATCACAGCAATGTCATGGGTGCTATAAGGCTTCAGAATTGAGAGGAACTGCTTAGATGGGTCCGCAGGGTTGAGAGTCCTGATTTTCTAAACAAGGAGGGTACCCACACTTAGGCATTTCCACTGTCAACCATGGATGTAAAATACCATGGAAGAGGAGGCAGACTAGATGCTGACCATATTGCATTGCAGAAATTGCATTATGTATGAATTACTTCAGTGATCCTCATAAGGATTCAGAAGTGCTTATCACTTTTATGCATAACTGATACTGACTGGCATAATTATGTTTCTGCCTCTTCACAGGGAAAATGAAAAAAGGAAAGCACAAACCAGCATGGGAGCAAGACCCCTCTCCTTGTCAAGAGCAAACCTACAATAACCAATGCTGAGCTACAGCAAGTGAGAGAGCAACCTATCTGCTTGCTTCTCCCATGCACATGCATTTTCTCTCAGTGGAGCCTCTTTCTGCACACACTCAAAGGATGCCTGCAGCCATCTGGTTTCTGGAAGTCCATGCAAATCCCTCTTCCACCTGAAGGGTCCCCAGCACAGACTGTCCCCTTGCAGCCTTGCTTTGTGAAGAACATGTAGCACACCTGAGGCCAGACCTGGAAACCTGCTCATTACCGATGTGGCAAACGCTCATTTGGCACATAAAACACAGGCCTCCAGGGCAACAGTTCTCCACTTGTCATTTCACTGCAATATAGTTCCTACCTCAATATAATCACTTTGGTGTTCATCAATGTACTGGAAAATCTCTGTCTCCAACGCTGGAGTGGATGGTGAAGACATTACTGCCTTAGAGTGTTGCCCAGAGCTGAGACTGTAGAATGGTTCAGGTTAGAAGGGACCATCTAGTTCCACCCCCGCTGCCAGAGGCAAGGACACTTTCCACTAGACTAGATAGAGGCTATCAGAAAGTTAAGGATAAAATTCAACATGTTAGAGACATCCTGCAATATGCACTTCATTTCAGTTCTAGAAAGCATAGACAATTGTAAAGTGCTGAGCTTACTCAAGCCTCCTTTAAGTTCACATCAATTTTCAATGCACAAAGTTCCAATTGTGTGTTCTGGGAAGACAACCCCAGGGAAGACTTGCAAACATCAACTCACACCAGTAGCCCAGGGAATTCATCTTTCATTTTCTTCATTTCCAGAAGAATGGGAGAAAAATTGATTCACTGACACATGTTGCATATTTTACATGAATAAGGTAGAGCTATCCTGACACAGGAGAGTATCAGACAACAAATAGCTTTTGCGGTTGAGTAAGAACAGTGTCAACACTGAAACACTTCATAAGTGCAGAAGTCAATTAGTACTTGCAAACCTCTCTGCCACCTTGTTTTTGACAAGACAAATGAATATTTAAAACCCATAAGATTCTGAGAAGTGTTTTCCCTCCTTGAAGTTCCTGCTGCAGGTTCTTGAATTGGTGTTAGCAGAGTAATGCTTGGCTAGTTAAATCCTTGGCTGGCTAAATTCAGAATAGCTGCTGTATTGTGGTGCTCAATGGGATAAACTCCAAGGTCAAAACCCAACACTTTGAATCTAAAAATATTCTATACTGGTGACAAAATGTGTAGTTGCAGGTCCATCCACAATTCCATAACTTTGATGCATTGCTAAGGTGATAGGCTATGGTAATACTAATAATTTCAATTGCGTTTCTCTGATGAGAAGATATAGATTGAAAACCCAAGCATGATAAACAAAGGGAGGGAAGCATCCTTCATTTTCCACAAAGCCTGCAAATGCCTTAGTTTCACATGTATTTTATTCATGCTTTCTACTTTGCCATTTCCAAACCTCAGTTTGGAAAATGTTTTCAATGGAGCCCACTATAAGTGCTCTCATTTAACCTACCATAGAAAATCAGACAGTTGCTTACAGAAAAGTACCTCTTGGGTATGCCACACTTGAACAAGGAGGATCATAACACAGGTTACACATAACATGGCTACTAGAGTAACAAAGCTCATGCGATGCACAAGTGTGTCTCCATCATATATGATTTTCCATTGAAATATTCAATTTTGCTAAATTCTATGCATTTTCACTATGAGAAGAATGAGTATACACATAGCTGATACCTTATGATGACTTGAAGAAACACGTATCTTTAATATTACATGAAGGTTAGAATGACAAAAGGGCTGCTTATACAGGAAACATGCACTGTGGTGATGGTATCTTCCTCTTTATCTACGTTACGTGCAAATGACCCGGAAAGATGCAGATGAGAAACTTGTCTTCAAGTCATGTTTCATTAGCTTTTAACTGTTTCAGAAAATGAAATAAGGAAACTACAATGCACTGAAGGAAAGAAACAAAACAACCCGAAACATTCAAATGAGGAAAAAACCCTAAGAATATTTTAAATAATTCAGTGATATTTTTGAAACAGAGACACAGACTTCGAGAAAAGCTTACAGAATATCCCAGAAGTAATTGCTTTCAGAAACAAAAGTAAGCATGAGCAATGCCTAAGTTCGGAAAATGAATGTGAGGAGATACTTACGCAGTCCTGCAGATGAGCAGAGTGCACCAAATACTGGTAATTCAAACCAGGTATTAGGTAGCAGCTATGTTGTGCTGTACTTGAGGGAGGGGAGTAGCAGAGGGAACTTCATGTTAATTTGCTGCTAACAGCCAGTACTGCTTGAAAGCATTTGTATTGCAACTGGGAAAGCTTGTGTAGAAAAGGGAGTCAGTTTAATAAAGCAGTAGAAAGATACCAGGCAAGGCTAAAATAGCTCAGTGTTACAAGGAAGAGAAAAATGGATGAGAAAGCCTGGGGGTGGAAATACCAAACAAAGACTTCAGTGTTCAATTTCAAGTGTATTTTATTTGATCTCATTTTAAAGAGCAGTTGCTGCTTTATAGAAAAATGTAGTATGACTGTTTTTAGAAATAATGCATGACAGTCACTCAGTTTCTCTTCCTTCATTCCTTGGTAGTAAGAACATTTTGTGTCTCCCTCCTGTCTCATGAAGTACTGTTAAAAGAAAACTTAGCCTTCTTAGGTGGTGATTTAACAAGAAATCCAAGTTGATTCTTTAACTAGGATGACTCTTTGATAAAATATCAACTAAACTTACAAACATTTGAGAAGCAGCTCTTGAACGTGCTCTGCTGCCCTCCTTGACATTCCTGAAGTGCATGCCTCACACGCCTTCCTCCCTGCAATGCAGCATTTAAAGTGTGTGCAAGGGGAGTGCGCCAATGAAAATGGAATATTTTGCAACCAACCCAGAATAAAACAAAGTCAGAATTCACCTAGTTTGCAAATAACATAAAGAACATTTGACATGAAAGGAGATAAAAATGTGTATGGCAGTAGAAGCTAATTTACCAAACCAGTGGTGGGATCCACTGAAAGGAACATTCCCTCTAAGCCACCATCACCAAGGAAGATAACTGAGATAATATGGTTATTATTTAACTTTCTTTAGCAACATTAACTGATCAGTGGCCTACCTTTTGTGGAAGAAGGCAATCGCGCCTCGGTCATCTCTCCAGCTGAGTAGGTGATACCCTTGGAGGAGGAGGATGGCAGCTCTTTGAGTGGCACCTCTTGAACACAACTCTAACCATGTGCAGCCACTGCCATGATAATGACCAGGAGCTGCAGAGATCCAGACACATGTAGAGGGATGGACACCAGCTCACAGGGCTGCCTGAAGGGCATTTCAGAGAGTGCAAGTGACTAGCCCTGCCTTTGCTCAAGCTGACTCCTTAGAGAAAAAAGTGAGGCCCTGTTTATCAGTTCTGCTTTGCTGTAATACAGATTACAGTGAAAAAAAAAACTCCTTACCTCTTTGTGCTCTTGTTTTGCAGCTGCTTTTATGGCTACTGATGAGAGCTTGAACTGGCAAGGTCTCCTCTTCCACCTACAGAACAGGGGCATTTCATCTCAGTTCACTGTTAAGTTCAGCAGTTATGAAGGATTACTTTTAAATTAAAGATTAACTTTTGGTTTAGATGCTTAAAGTCTACTTCTCTATCCTATAATAATCCAAGCAGGATATTCAAATCACTACCACATCAACCTATGGCAAATTTTCCCATATCCCTTTCCTCCTCCCTTTCTCTGTGGAAGACCTAAATCCTAGCAGGAATTACAGTGTCAGAAAGCACTTCAGCACTGCTGCTTTATGATAGTATTTTGAAGGACTTGGAGAAGAGACGTGGTTTTTGTTACTTTGATTTGAAAATGGGAAAAGAAAAGAATACATATCTGTTAAGAATTTCTCCCAGGAAGTAGTGTTACACTCTGTGCCCACTGACAAGAAGTAATTCACTATTTCCTCACCTGAGAAAATTTATGAGCTTGACTGCTCGTTGGTTTGCAATCAGATAAACATTGGTATAAAGAGATCCTTCTGGAAAGATAGCTGCACTCTCTTATGCGCTTTTCACAGTAAAAAGGTTAATAGGAAACAACTACAGGAAGTACAGCTGAGTACCAAACTATATGCACTGGTATATAAGGCTGAGCTACTAATCCAGTTCAGAATGCTCCTAAAACACAGTCAGCATCAAAACGAAAATTAAAGTATACGTGAAGAATATTTCCTGTATTCTGACTTGCTGGGATGGCTTTTGACATCCACATCCAAGCGCACTGTGTTCACTTACATGTGGATAGCCTCACCACATTTTTGCTGATAGCTCTTCCATACCAGAGTGCCTCTGAACTTATATCAAATTTTAGGTGCTTGTGTTTGCATACAAGGGTCTATCCTTGTGGTCCTCTGTCCCTTTTGAAAGAACTGCTATTCACATGGTCAGATTCAGTAACAAGCATTGGTTTTCCAAGGGAGGTCAAGGTCCTATCTCAGAGCCTTATAAAAACCTTTGCTTCCTTTCAGTATTTGTTCTTAATATATATAAACTCTTATGCAAATGAATGCAGAAGTTTTGGAGAAATTAAACGTTTATTTGCATTTATTTATAAGAATTCTGTTTTTACATGTAACCCACCTTGATGTTTCACACTGATGTTACTCCTGAATTATGATAGCACAAGTGAGATAAGAAATAGGTCAACTGAATTCAGTCATTCAGCTATTTGCTTATTTACCACTGTATCTATCTTACTGGGGGGGGGGGGGGCGGGGAGCAATGATTACTTTGTAGCTTGTTCTTTCATTGCTAATTGCTCCTTATTTTATAACCTATAACTTGGAACAGGGTTTATAGTCAGTATAGGAGATTATTTTCTTTTTCAGTCATTATTCCATTTATGGATTATCATAAGCACGTAAACATGACCAACATTGTTTAGAAGCATTTTTGAATTTACTCAGCTTTATCTCCTCAATAAAAACACTCTCTGGTGATAACTTATAAACTACAATAAATTAAAGAACCAACTCGAATAGTTTGGGTGAGTGCTGGCATGGACAACTCCTCTTTGGAGTACAGTAAGCATTTAAATAGGAGGAAATAGGTTAATTACAGAAAAATAAGAGCAGAACTAAAACAATAGGATAAGGAAAACAAAGCATCAATGTCTTTGTTCCTCTTGTCCTTTGAAAATGTAAGCTCTTCAGGGTAGAGATGGTCTCCTACTTTGTGTTTCTATTACTACATCTGGGCAGCAGCCTCAGTTGGTGATAAAGTGGTGGTGCAAACAAGAGTTAACTTAATTTCACTGGCACTTCAGCAGAATTCGCATGCCTTAACTGTTACCTTAATTAAAAAGTTGTCTTAAGAAATTACAATTTGCATGAGCAAACATGTAAGAAATATGCTGTTAGGAGCACCTTTTCATTGACAGAAATTTTATGAGGGTTTTCAGTGCTACCTATGACTCTAAGTAGCTACCTCTAGCTCAAACCAGCTATTTTCTATTTCTTGAAGGTGTCTTACAGGAAAATGAGAATGATATTATAATGTCATAATCAGTAGTAAATGGTTATTATTGCATCTTACTGTCATTTCTCAATATACTGCCTTCGTATAACTTGTTTTCATTGCCTCCTGGAAGTGTAAATCCCCCAAATATATCTCCCCTAAAGGATTTCTGTATCTGCTCCCTGTGCAGCAGGAGGAAGCTCTTCCACCTCCTCACTCCTTCCCACTCCATGCTGCAGTCTGAAGAATATTTCCCAGCCATCACCTTTCAAAACAATCATAAGCAATACTGCCTGCTTCAAGAGCTTGTCAACAGTGGAGTGAGATTGCACTGCTAGAGAGGTAAAGACCCCCAAAACCCTAAATTAGTAGTTACCTGAGCATCAGTAATTGCAGTTGGGTATGTCAGTGAACAGAGATTAACTTAGAAAAGACCCCCTTACCCAGGCAAGAAATCACACAGTGCTTTACAAGCATTGATGACTACAGGCTGTCCTTGACGTGGAGCAATGATGAACAACACCTTCCAGGAGCAGGGCCACAAGGACTGGAAATACTCTGTAAAGGAAGAGCAGTAACACAAAGCCTTCTCACCGCCTAGAAGGTAAATCAGCAAGCTCTCTGCACACAGATCTCCAAGCATGCAGGCTTTAAGTGATACACCCTGGGGAGGAATGAACAAGTTGTTCTTGTCCAGCACCTTTTCCAGTATACTGCACTGAATGCTGAGACAGGAGGCTGCTCTGTTTTTCCAAGCGCAAGACTGTAAATTCATTTTGTTTAACAATTAAGCAAAAGTATTTTCAGATATCAATCACACTGAAACAAAGGCAAGAGGTTATTCCTATCTTGATGTCCTTCAGACAGCTTTACTCAGCCAAATAACAGCATCATTCCCTTAAGGGTGACCTCTCTGTGCAGGTGAGGTTTTTATTCTGCTGAAAATTCACAGTCATTTCCAAACAGACATCAGAGACCAGCTTTAGGAACTCACATGGTGAAGCAGATACTAACCATGCAGTACTTTGTCTATGCAGCTCTTCACATTGCCTCTTCCCAGCTTTCCATGTGGTCCAGGAACTGGCGGGGAATGAGTCACTGAGGTGGTGGTGTGTATGGTGTCCCTCAAGGCATGTGTCTGGAGCACCACAAAGTTAACTTAGTTTCACACTTTGCTGACTTCTGCATCCCACCTGGGTATGAGGCAGCAGCCTCTGAAGAAAGGCTTGTGAGTACTTTTCCATTGCAGCCCTCCTGTTGTTGAAGTGTATTTGGGAGAAGGCCAAAACAAGCAGAGAGGTTCTTATCTTGGCGAATACAAGTTGCTCTTAAATAGCTTAGAAAGGAACCCACTGTATATACTTATATATAAACACAATACCATTGCATCTCAAGGCAACAGATGTTACCACTGCAAGGTGATTGTGACCTTAAGGAGGAGCATGAGATATTTCATAGCATGTTGCTCCTATCAAAGTTCTACTGACTATATCGAGGGTAAAGCACACGCTTCAAGTGCCCAGAGCAGACACTCATTAAACTGAGGCTCTGCACCCTTCACATGCAAAGCAAGTCATGCCATCAGCAGCTGTTTTGATGCAATAGTGTCTCAACAATCACAAAACAGTAGAAAAATGCAAGACAGGCGCCTACTCATCCCACCAGGGTTTAGGCTTAAAATACTTTCCCTACAGACATATATTTTGCTTTCTTTGCTGCAGTCTTCTCAAGCAGAGAAGTTTCTCACATGTTCAAAGGCCTTTCAACAGAAGTGTAGCATGTGTCTTGACATGGCTTAAAAGGCAACGATGGCTTTGCGTTTTTTGTGCTGTGGGAATCAGAACATTTAGAGCTACTGCTATAGCTCTTAACTTTGAAGCAAGTGACAGTTCTGCAAATCAATAGTTTGGATATAAGCCATTAATCCCACATGCTGAGCACCTAAATCCTTACAGAAGTTATGAAATTGTGGCTGAAATATTTAAAATAATTCATGAAGATGGATAAAGTTTGTATCCCCTCACTCACTGCACTTCAGAGGGAGTTAAACTTTAAGGTGAACTAAAAAAAAAAAAAAAAAAAAGAAATGCCATGATAATAATAATGATGATAATATTTAAAAGTTAATTTAAGCTATGAAAGCTCAAATGCACAAACAGCTGTTAAAGGAATGGTTCCACCATGTGCTCCTCTTTTCTTGCCTGGAAGCCAATCTTTAAGAACTCAGCTTGACCAGGAAGAAAAGTATTTTCTCCCCATTTGCAATAAACTATGCACCCTTTCCTGAAGGATAGGCAATGGGAAGGCTGGGGGGGTGGGGAAATCACATCACAGATGCACATTGCCTGGACACATTCTTGAGTCACAAGATGCTTGCCCTCCAGGTGAGCAATGCTATCACCAGCTCTGATTTTCATCTGTTTTAAATGAGGGTGTTCTGCTCAGGCACCCAAATGCCTCATTTCTCACCTACCTCTGAGAAGGTGCTGGGCTTTCCCTGCCACACTGAGCTAAGTTTCAGGGCGGCCCTCAGCTTGCTCCCCTAGCAGAAACACCTGATAGCATGGAGCTGTGTCCTATACACCGCTACATGCACTGCTTCCCACTGCAGGGCTCCAGGCTCTTGTCCAATGCTCACCCCAAACCGCTCAATCCCCAAACCCCTCCCTAGTAGCAGAGTGCTACTGGGCAGCATAACCAAACTACTCCAGTTTTCAAAGTTTGACTCAGAACCACAAACCACATCAGCTTGACACACCTACAGCTTTTGTTTCACATTTATTTGCACAACCACACTGTGTTTTTTGGTTCCTTGTATGTTGGGACAGACAGGCTATTGTACAGCTGGATATCCTTTATCCATAGAATTATTTATGTTGGGAAAGACCATTGAGTCCAATCATAAATCTCAATGATATGCAATTACATAGAAACTACTCATAAAGAAATGCTGGAAATTTAGAGGCAGCATTTTTTTCACTTGCCTATGTGGAAAGCACACAGTATCTGCTTCTTTGGCTATGCCTCTGTTTCAGAACACAAACTTTTTGTGTAGCGGGTTTCTTCTGTTTCTTATGCCAGATGTCATTATCCTAGACTATAGCAAATAACCCATATCCTGATATCCTCTTTACTTCCCCGTGGTGCCTTCCCTCATTAAGGCTATAGAGGTTAGAATAGTTTGTTTTCATGTTTGTACCTATGGGGAAAATGGCTGGACAAGTGGATTCATGGAAAAAAGCTACCTGAGGAGCACACACACCAACATATACATGTAATTTAGCACAAGAAAATGGGGACTGAACTCAATGAAATGGCCCTATATTTTCCCTCTCATTTAAAGAAGTACAAATAGATTTATAACATCAGTCTTGTCTTCTCCACTTGCAGCAAGTTTCCTTTTACCTATTCGATCATTCACTCCTGGCATAAAGGAAAAGTCATTATTAAAAGTATTGCTAGAGGCAGCACATACCTTCATTTCCATAGTAGTAATTACATTAAAAAAAAACATATAGAGGAACTTAAATCAGGAAAATGAACTTTATGACTCCAAACCATCCATTTAGTACTTTGTGAGAAATCTTAGCTGAATACAAAGGTGTCAGAGATGTCAGATCCTTCACTGGTGTGCGCCCTTCCCAGCCACAAGTAAACATGCCTTTTATCTATCTAGACTTGCTCTTCCTTAGCTGAGAGAAAGTGATCTGTGGAGATATGGAGATATTAAAAAGATAACGCAGCTCTCACAGTTGAGGCTTTAGATGAATCCTGCAAACTAAGGGAAAAAGAAGGTTTTTTTTCTGCTTCTCATAAACAGTCAGTTTACAAAGAGCCACATTTCAAGGCCGAGGCGGGGGTGAGGAAGGAGAAATGTCAGCCTGAAGTAGTGTGACTGATTCCTTTTGAATTATCTCAGCATGGTGTCATCTTATCTGGAGATTTCATTTGTTCCTGTGACTAATAATTGGGCTTTAAACTGGCGAACGGATTTAGCAGGATCAAGCTCTCAAATTCAGAGCACTGCGAAAACACAGAAAGAACTTTTGATCTTTAAACTGAAAGACAAATGGATGTTATCCAGGTGACACGTGCCACTAAGTACCGAAACAAGGGGTTCAGAGAGTGGGCTTTTTGGCATTTGCTGTGTTCCTTTGCTAACAGTAAGATCTAAGTCACCCTTTGCCAATTTTGAAAACTCGGTGAATATTGATAAATCTATGCAAAAAATGCATGTCAGATCAAGCTTCTAAGCTTATGCATCATTTATGAATGCACCTGTCTTACCTGAAATAACCAATTCCTTCCAGTCGCAGACTACAAGAAAGAGGCTTTTATACCATTTTGCTGTTTCTAGTTTTGAGTTACAGAATAACTTCAGAGGTTTAAGTGACTCAGGATGACACAGGGATTTCTATCAACACAGATAAAATTGTATTTGGAACAGATTAATTACAATCTGTATTTTTGCATTATAATTTTATGCAAAGTGTGTGAAGTGAAAACTTGCTGTCCTGCTCTGAACTGAAACAAACAAGTTTCTGAACATTTCACAGTTCAAAATCACCGTATCCTCTACTTTGGATTTATATCCAGACTTAAAGGAGAATCTTCGATTCATAAACCACTGACATTTTATCACCCCAAATTCTTACATTCAGTAATTAAAGACTAAATAGTGTGCCAGATTGTGATCATTTTTGATAGGTGCAGACTCCGTGATTCAAATTCAAAAGCAAACAGGTGCTTATATCTAAGTTTGTGAACAGATTACCATACATTTCTGAATATATTTGCCTTCTGTATCGATGTCTAAGAATTTAAGTGGGAAAAACAGAAAACAAAAAAAAATCCCTCCAAAACTGTTGTATTGCAGGCTGTGTGCTATTGAAAAAATAACATTTTCCTATGCCAGCCCCCATTTTAACTTTAGTACTAAATCTAATTATTTTCAGGATCTTTCTTCTACATCCTTAAGGACCTGCTGGTCTGTCAGTGGCAGGGATTGTGTCATTAAAGCTTTCTTCCACAGCCATCAAATTATTTGAAGGTGCTAGAGGAGCATTTATTACTGAGGTGCTCTCAGCTCCCTCTGATGAGATCAGAGAAGCTGAACTTGTTTTACATTTGGAACAGGTATTGCTAATCAGCTGCTACTGTGCACAGCTTCAAGGTGACTGCTGTGTCCCAGTAAATCTGTGTCATATTTGCACATATGATAGATGTGGAACTACAATGCATTAAGAAAATGGAATGTATCATCCTAAATTATTAATATTTTATGTTGATGACTCAATTACCTGTCATATCCTATAGAAACACTTTCAGAGTGGGCAATGTAATACAGTAGGAAATCTGGTGCTCCAATTTTCCGGGGCGGGGGGGGATTCAAATGAGTTTGATAACACTTTTTAGTGTATTTCTATTATAAGCCAATCAATGCATGAACTTATCTGCAGTTAAAGACAAGACTTTTTCTCCCATTTCTCAAATCCCTTCATCAAAACTCCTTTTAACTTTTAAATAGGAGCTTCTCAGCTGGTCTCAAGGTATTTAAAAATCCATCTGTAAGTGTCAGACAACTCCAAGTAAAGCTCCCAAAAATTAGATACAGCTCTACAAACTTAAAGTTCATAACCAGACAAATTCCATTAAACATCATTTCCATCAGTGCAAAGGAATATTAGCAGTCTAAAGCCTGAAACCTAATAAACTCTGGCTGTCTATGCTCTAGAAACATGTATCTATACATTCATTTAGCACCCTTTCTCATGAAGCCTTTCACTCAGTTTCTGAAGCCTGCTCTCTACTAGTCTTTCTCCCCAGCTTCTTCACATTCCAGGGAACTTTATTCATGTCTTTTTACATTGAAATTCTGTTGCCAGATAACAATAGGTTACCAATATGCGCCTGAGCTCCTGCTGCTTTCTTCCTCCTTCTTGATTTGTGCTTCTGAATCCATCCACTCAGAGTTAAAACTGCCTTAAAATAATCACAAGCAGCACTGTGCCACCTTGTACAAAAGTTTAGGATACGGCTGACAAAACATTACAGGATATTTCTGACATACAAATAAGATTCAAAGCTGTGCAGAAATAAATCTTTTGCTTTCTTTTTATTAATTCTGCTTGACAACCAATTCCTGAAAATTCCATGCAGCCTATACTGTATTTTGAATTAATATTGTATTCTTACAGCTTTGAACTTGAGTTCTCCAGCTAAGTGTTCAATGAACACAATAGA